ATGCCGTGTAGCCTCTAGAAAACACCACTGTCTGCTTATAAGAGAACGACAATGAAAAAGGAAAATGTTGTTTTAGTGTTGTTATGAAAATAGTTTTGACTTCTCAAACACCTTGCAGTGGTCTCAGGGAACTACAGCTCCTGGACCAACTTTGAGAAGCACTGCCTTAGAGAAAGTCTAAGCACCACATAAGCATAAGAATGTTCACAGCAACACCGTACATAGTAGCAAAACCTAGAAATACCCCCAAATCCAACAACTAGTGTATTCATTCCATGAACTACGACACAGCTATACAAAGAAAGAAATTGCAGTATGGCTCTATTAGACAAGATGAATGACTCTTGAGCAACAGAAGCAAGCCAAGGGAAAACATACTGAGCTTTTATTTAAAGTTTAAAAAGAGGTAAATTGAATAAAGTACTGGTGAGGAATACATTACAGGACAAACAGCTGCCTGGACGATGCACAAGAAGGGATAAAGGACAGATGCGGGATGAGCAGGGATGGCCTACGTGGGAAGTTTTATTTCTTTGGCAGGGTGGTGAGTACATGGGTGTTTATCTTATTCATGTTTTATACACTCTGTACATATAAGATATTTTGAAATTAAAAAATAATAATAAACCAAAACAAAACAAAAATGAAAAGACTAGAAAAGTTACTGCATGAGAGAAAATTATTTAACTTAACAGTAATGGAAGAAACCACAAAGGAATGGGTAATTTTGAATACATTCAAAAAATGAAAAAAATGAAAGTAACATAAACAAGAAAACACCAAACCAATTATAAAGCCATACTAATAAGAAAATTAAATTACAAATGGATGCAAACATATGAAAAGAAGTTTAATCTCACTAGTAATCAAATGCAAACTAAAACAGAACCATCAGCTAAGAAATGATGACACTAAATATGGATAAGGCTATGATGAAACTAACACTTTTTCAAGGGCTGGTGGAAATGAATCTTGGTGCAACTTACATAGAGGAAAGTTTAGCACACATGAAATGAAGTGTCTTAAAAATACACTACTAAAATCAGGACATGTTTTAAGGAAATAACCTGAACTACTGTACAAAAAATTGTGTTAAGAAAAAACTAGAACCTAAATGTCCAAAAACGGACTAGTTAAGATAAAGAATACGAAAATTATCTTTAATTTATAGAACTGAATATTAATGGTAATGTAAAATGTTGCTTACTTCGTATGTATGGGGGAAGAAAATCATGTGAGTAAAAAAGTGCAACACAAAATTACATGCAGGATGGTTTTTTAATTATGTATTTTTTGAATGTATAGGGAAAAAAAGATAGGGAAAGAATGCGTCCACTGTTAGCAGAGCTGTCTCTGGATGGGGAGCTTATGGGGGATTCCTCAGACGTTTTTGGTATCATCCAAATTTGTCTAAATGAATCCATATATTGCAAAGTCAGAAAACAAACCTAAACTAATAAAGCTCACAACCCCCTCAGTAGCTCTCCAAACTCACTAATGCACAAAGGCATCGCTTAGGTGCCCGAAGCTGTCCACACGACAGTGCCACTGTGCTCAGCCGTGTGCTTACCGTCCCCAGGCCCTCGAAAGGGACTTCCTCTGCTTCCTGGACGTCCCCTCATACCTTCTCGTGCGGGCCACTTAGCTCACACTATTGGATCAGTCTGGGTCAGTCTCCACCTGGCAGAGCGCCACCTCTTCCCAAGCCTGGAAGCAACACCACCTTTTCTGTGAGGGTTTTTTCTAACTCTAACTCAGCCACCGCAACCAGCTGTGATTTTCCCTTGTCTGACACTTACAGAAACGATTGCAGCGGTCTTCCTACAATCCGTCCTAACTTTCACAGCTAGCTCTGTTTCAACACCCCTGCTAGATCCCAGCAGTTCAGGAACGAGCTCTGTTCTTCTTCATCTCTTGCTCTAATGTTGACACACTGTTTCCCAGAATTAAGCACACAGGGAGTATCTGAGGAGCTGGGTAAGTCATTGCCACAATGGATTCATCTGTTACTTTGGCCACGAGGAGAAGGAAGAGAGAAGGGGAAATGTTACTCATTTGAAACTCGGCGTGGAATTTCTCACAGAGGCAATGAGAAAAAGGGATCATTAATGCAGAAAACAATAATGGACTTGTATTTTATTCTTTTTGCCAGCTACAAATCTATCCACAATTGGTAACTTAATTTCTATGGAGATAAAAATGTGCCTTGAATTCCCAAGAATCTACCTCCAAAGAGTTTCTGGAGCACATCCAATGCTTAAAGTGATACACTTGCAGATAAAATGTTCCTTTAGGGAAAACATTGAGCTTGCTTAAATCTGCTGTAAGCCTCTTCTGAAATGACAATAGAAAGGGTGACATGAAAGAGGAAAAAGGAAACTGAATGTTCTAAACACCTGAGTTAATTTCTAAAAAGTAAACTTGAAAGGGAGAACAGAAGCAAATCAAAAACCCCTTTTAATCACTTTCCAAGCTACCTTTATTTGATGCTGTATTTCAGGAAACAACTGAAACTTTTAAGAGGAGAAAGTCTTCAAAGGTTTTTATTTTCCTTTTCTATGAAAGTCTTTAAATTAATTAATATTTACAAAGGCTGTGCAGATAACCCACAGACATGAGTTCACACATACCCAGGCATGTATATTTGACAAACCCTCCCATATTTAATGCCACACAGGGCTTTACTTAGAAAGAACGCTGTCTTTATCAGACATACTCTGAGGGCTGCTCTTTGCCAGATTTCGGTGGGGGAGGGAAGCCAGTTAGGACAGCTCTTAATACTGACTTAGGCTAATCTTCCTATGTCTATATTTAAGCATTGTTGTATATTCATTCATTCAGTGAGTATGTATTGAGAACTGTGCTAGGTACAGAAAACTGAGTATGACCTTGCCTTCAATGTGCACAGGTTGCCCCAGACCTATATACATTCTACTGGAGGGGATGAATTACAAGCAACTAAACCAATGACTGAGCTAACTACACGTTAGGGTAAGACCTGCAAAAGAGACAAAATAAACAAGACAGGGAGGCTGTTTAATCACCATCAAAGGCCTCTCGGATACATTTAAACAAAATGGAAAAGAAAAAAGAAGGATCTAGCCATGCACACTACCTGGACAAGAGCCTTCCAGGCACAGAGAGGTGGAAAGGTTTCTAGATGGAAACAGGCTTAGTTTGTTTGAAGAACATAGAAGAGACAGTATGGCTGGTCATGTTTTTCAAACTGTGGGGCCCATTTGTAGGTTGTGTTAACAATTTTGTAGGTTATTGTATCAGGGAGTCATAGGTTTTCAGAATAAGTATTCGTGAAGAAACTTTGCTTCAGTTTTGTGTGTGCACATGTACTGGACTGCAATGTTTAATTTCCTACTGCAGGCAATGGTGAAATCTGTATTGAGCAAGGAGAGTAGGAACACAAGTGGATGGAGGTGTGGGCAAGAACTAGCACCTGCATGGCCTTGCAGTGTAGGCTGCCATAAAGAACTGGGATTTTATTCTAAACAAAGTAGCAAGGCACTGAAGGGACTCAAGCCAGGGAGTGACATGATCTAATTTGACAGGACAGTGTTGCCAAAAGACTACTATAGTGAAATTCAGGAGACCTGAGTACCTGCCCTAGCCTAGCTACTAACATTAGAGATTTTGAGCAAATCACTTAATCTCTCTAACTTTACTTGCTTCATTTTACAAATAAGAAAGTTGGAGCAAGATGACCTTTGAGATCTTATCTATTGCTACATTCCTATGACTATATTCTGCTTCCTCTCTTGGGCACAAGTAAATGACTACTCGGGAGACACTAGCTCATTGGGTCAGGTTCTGGGTTACTTCTTAAAATATTGTAAACCATGTAGCTGTAAGAGACACATTTCTATAGAAAGAAATTTTATATTTATTTCTTCACTGGAACCAGTTATGTCATTAGAAATGAGATCTTTGGACTAAAGGTGAAGCAAGTGCTTTTGCAACTCCCTGGTGCAAAGTTTAGGATGGGAAGGGATGAAAGGATTTACTAACCAGGTTTATTTTGGAACAGATTTACTTATTTGTTTTAGTTCAACTGCCGTAATATAGAGCAGTCTAAAGTTGCAGGGAACCTCTTAGCACTAAAGTAAAGATGTGGAAGCTTAGCTTCTTTCACAGTAACCAAAATGACTATTGATGCAAAATATTTATTGACAGACTACTATATGGTAACCCCATCCTAGACAGTTTGATATATGCTTTTTCATTTAACCCTCCTAATTATTTGCATTTCACAGCAATGGAAACAGGAAAGACAATTAAGCTATTAAATGGGCTCAGAAAAGATAAGTAAGCTATCAAGTGGCAGAATTAGGGTTAGAATATTTATATCACATTTATTATAAATTATCCTGCGTGTTTTTAAAATTACAAGGATTAAATCTTCAGTTAAATACTGGACAACTCAAGTATCTGTGACATCTGGACACAGAATGTTCAACCAATAAATCAATTCTGGACTCTCAGGTGCTTTGCCAGGTACAGTGTGAGATGAAAAGGTAAGTCGTTCCAGCAATGGAAGGCCTACTGAGTGGGCAGCACGGTAGGTTGTAGGAGGCGGACTTAGGCAAAACACCCAAGGAATTTGGATCCCCAATTAAGTACTCGGGAATAGGATTATGGCAGTTTCTACGTTCCTTATCGCGTTTGCTGCTGGTGAAATGTCAGCAGAGGAACCACGGACCAGACAGTGTCACCGGTGCCGTGGACCTGGAAAGTGTCCTGAAAGTTGCATAAACTGGAGATGCTAGAAACACTGATTTCCAACTTCATTAACCCTTTAGCAAGCAATGGGCGCATCAGCTGCCCCATGGGCGCGGTGCGCATGACATGTTACAGCAGGAAACCCTTGGAAACTCGCAGGGCACCGTTCCCGTGAGAGTCGAAACGGTCCCCAACGCTTCCCACAGAGACACCCGCAAACACTCCAGCAAAGTTGGGGATACTCGGTGCACACCTGCCTCGGTACCCACCTGTCACATACTCGGCTTCGAACCTCCGCCGGGTCTCACTGATGAGCTTGGCTTTATTCTGGGCGTGACACTGGAAGGGAGACGAGAGCAGCTTAGCCGGCAAGCACCCCCCTCCCCCCCGCTGCCCCTGGGCTCAGCCCACCTGCACCTGGGAGCATCCCCCCTCCCAGGGGATCGGAGCAGGGTCCGGGTCCCAGGAACCCGGCGGCAGCGCGCGCCACCAGCCTCTCACCTCGGCCATGGTCGCGGGCNATGATAACAGCATGCTCTTCCTTTTCTCAGATCTCCCAACAATTTATTCATCCAACTCCTATCACATCACACTGTTTCATAGTCTGTGTACACGTATCTTTCTCCCACTAAATGATTTAAGGCTATCTATCTTCCTTTACAAACTGCACAGCCCTTGTACAAAGCAGGTCCTTCAAAATGTTGGGAAGACCTATAGCTTTCAAAAGAGACGAAGGGACACACTAACTCATATGAAATTAAACTGGATCCTGATTCAAACAAATACATTGCTTAAAAATGATGAGAAAATGAGGGAAAGTTGAATGTTGGCTATTTGATACTATTAAGGACTTTAAGTGTAATAAAGGCATTGTGTTTATGTTGTTTAGAAAGAGTGTTTGTGAGTCTATGTAAGAAGGGAAGAAGTGGTAGGAGGTCTAGAATCTGCTTCGTAGTTGGGAAATGGGTGGGGGTGTAGCTGAAACAACATTGACTGTGGGTTGAATGGGGTGATGGGCACTTCTTAATGTTAGGTACTGTTGCTTTAAAAATCACCCCAAGTTGGGCGGGAGGGCGCGTCCCCTGCGGAACTCCGCCCGAGCGAGCTGCGCCTGCCATTGGCTGTCGCCACGTCCCCCGAGGCCCCGCCTCCTCAGCGGCGCTCAGCATCCCCCGCCCAGCCTTCCCAGGATGCAGCGCGCGCGCGCGCGGGAGGTTTAGAGCCTCGGGGACGCGGACACCGCGCGGGTGGAGCTTCCNGTGTCCCCTTCCTGGACGGGGCGGCGGGCTGCCGTTGCTTCCCAGTCCGGTCGTTGCGGGGGAGCCGGGAGGAAGCGGACGTCCCGGGCCTGTGCCATCATCCCAACGACGTGCATCATCTCGTGGGATGATAACTAGATGTTAAGCGCGTGCGACATTCGGGGGTATTTCGATTGAAACTTTCTTCACCCCCGCTACATCTTTTCCACTTGGAGTGTGAGATACTTAACAGGGAATGTATCTTTGAAACAGTTACATAAAGTTAAGAGATGTAACTCCTCCGACAGTTTATTTCAAAGCGGGGGTCGGGGGGCGTCAATTCTGTCTCCCAGGGGACATTTGGAAATGTCTGGAGACATTTTTGTTGTCACAACGGGGAGGGGGCCTGCTACTGGCATTCGGTGGGTAGAAGCCAACGGCAGCGCTAAATCCTACCCTGCACAGGACAACCCCCTTAAGTTATCAGTAAGTGTCAAAGTTGAGAAAGATTGATTCATAAGTTACTTGGGCAGATTTTATGGTTGTTGGTTAAAAAATTGAAATGAAATCACCCCGCATTCAATGATACTGCCTTTGAAAAAATTTAAAGGTACTGAAAACGACAGACATTGTAAGAACAGCCCTCATGCTTCCATCATCCACAGTCAGCCGTGATTGACACTTTAGCATCTTACATCCCAGACTTTTTTTGTTTACATTGTTACAGAGAAAAAACGAATACATTGCTTTAAAATTATTTGGGTACATTCTTAATAACGTTTCAGATCCGGGCACACCTCATTTTATTGCACTTCACTTTATTGTGCTTCACAGGTGTTGCGTTTTTACATATTGAAGGCAAAACCCTCCACCAGCAAAAGAGTATGACTCTCTTTATTGCGTTACTCGCTTTATTACTGTGATCTGGAACCTAACCCCCAATATCTCTGATGTATGCCTGTATAGCTAAGGTCTTCGTCTGGCTCCATTCCCCTACCCTGAAATCTATCCCTTTTTCCAGAATGAACTGTCATTCTGAATGTGGCATGAATCTTTTCAACTTTGCTATTTTAATTTGTTTTTAAATTATTTTGGGCCAGGTTGCCTGGATTTGAATCACTTCCTATTTGTAGGCCTTTGAGAAGATCCGTAAACTCTATGCCTCAGTTTCCCTATCTATAAAATAGAGTAATAGTGCCTGTGGCATCAGGATGTTGTGAGGAATAAATGAGTGACTCCAAAGTCCAACAGTACCTGGTACAGAGAAAACGCTCAGAATATAGCCATTGTAGGTAAACATAAAATATATAATGCTGTTTTATGGGTTTTGATTTAGGTAAAGAATGTACTGCCATTTACATTTTTCTGCAGCTTAATTTTTCTCATTTTATTTTTGAAATCTAGCCATGGTGATAGACATAGATCTAATTCATTTCTTTTAACTATGGTATGATATTGCATCTGAATATATTTGTTCCACTATTGGTGGTCATTGGAATTTTTACTATTTTTTATATTACACATAACAACACAGTGGACATTCTAGAGCAGTGTCTTTGTGAATTATGTAAGATTACTTCTGTTGGTTCTTATCTAGAAATGAAATTGCTGGAAATATGAATTTCCATTTATTGCCATATTGCTTTCCAAAGTCACCTCTCCCTTTAATTAAGTACTCATAATTATCTCCTAATTGATGGCTCTGCCTTCAATCTCACCTCACGCCTGTCCTCAACACAGCCACCAGGATCTTTATAATTCAGAAGTATAATACTGTGATTTTTATTTTTTAAAATCTTTCAATGGTTTATCATTGCTTAGAGGAAGTTAGAAGTCCTTAGTATGCCATAGAAAACTTTCTTTAACTTAATCTTTTCTAACTCTCTTAGTGGATCACCATTCCCCATATTCACCTGTATTTAAGGTCTACTAAGTATTGTTGGGAAAGAGAAAGGGCAGATTGATTCTGGTGAGGTTTCAACAAATGACTTCTAGTCACATAGGTGGAAAAAGCTTTAACACTGGACCTGTTCTGTAGCCAAGTTAATTTACTTAGGTAACAACGCCCTATACAGTGGTACCTCGGTTTTTGAACGTGATCTGTTCTGGAACACCGTTCGAGTTCTGAAACATTTGAAAACCAAGGGATCAATAGCTGACAGCTGGGCCTCAGGATGTTGCCCTCAGCAGAAGCCACGTGGCATGTTCGACTTCAGAGGCCTGTTCGAAAACCGAAGCATTGCCTTCCGGGTTTATGGCGTTCATAAACCAAAATGCTCATCAATGGAGATGTTGGAGAACCGAGGTACCACTGTATGTTGAAAAAAGGACATCTGTCAGTATTATGCTCATAAGATTATGTTTAATATGATTAGGTGAAATTTTTAATTAGTTGTCTTAATTCTACCTTTTTTCCCCCAAAGATACTTTGTATTGGTCACAATTGGTATAGTTTCTTGGAGACTTTTTTTAGATTTCATCTATAGATAGTATAGGGCTCTTTTTGGATCCTCCTGAACCAGACGGGTAGTAGAAACTTAAACAGTTCTGAAATTCAGTGCCCAAATGAGTTTAGTAGCATTTAAAGGCAACATTGTGTATTTGTTTGGGAGACCAGTGGAGAAAAGCAGATGAGGATGGTAATTTGTTGCCAACCTATTATATTTATGTTATCATAGATTGTTTTTCTAGCATACTTACACATTTTATGTATAAATTATATACAATGAAACCTCGATATAGCAGACTAATTTGGGTGGGGGGTGTCCATTAAAGCGGAAAGTCCCTTATGTAATAAAGTAGGTTTGCCGAATGTGTATGTTAAAAAATGGACAAATTACCTGTTTTTACTTATGTAGACATGTTTGTGTAACTAGAACTAAGTATGTATGAAAAGTTTAATTTCACAAAAAAGTTTTCTATATGTATTACTGTAATTTTAAGTTTATACTGAACAGGTCTAGTAAATGTGTGCATTCACCAGTCACGGTGAGTAAACAAATGCACACGGCTTCCCATGGCTTAGCACCTGTGGGGACGTTGGCCATTGGGAGTTAAAAGTGCTGCAGAAAGTCACGCCCCGACAGAACCAATTACTGCTTTCGATGTGGTGTGATCACATACTAATCAGTTGCTGAATATTTGTAACGAGCAAGCACTGACTCTTGGATTTAAATATGTAGACTATAGTTGTAGGTATGTAATATTTATTTATGTAAGCGAAATTACTATAGTGTTTTTTCAACCTATGGCCTATTCGCTAAAATTTGTTAAAAATAACAAATTTGTTTGTGAATTAATAACAAAAAAAAAATAACCTGTTAATTTAATTGTAAGCAAATCTCGTTTAAAACCATTGTAAGCCCTGGCTGGTGTGGCTCAGTTGGAGCATCATCCTGTACACCGAAATGTTGGGGTTCAATCCCCAGATGGGAGGCAACCCGATCTCTCTCACATCGACATGCCCCCCTTCCTCTCTAAAATCAACAACAACAATTTTTCAGAAAAGCATTTTAAAATTAGCAGGGTGTTAATTTTCACATATGACATACAGACTGGAAATTTTGTCCATTAAATCTGAAGTCTATTAAATCGAAGTCTGTAAAGTGGAGGTTAACTGTACTGTTAACTTTGGTGTAAAGTAATACAGGACAGGAAAAGCTCATACTAATTACATACTGTTTTATAAATAATCTGTTTCCAAATCTTCTGCTCCCCATAGTTACAGCAGGAGGTAAAATTTAACCGGTTTGAGTTACCTGCTTTTTTCTGCAGCCATTGTTTTAAGGGTACTAAGTAAACAATCAAGCGACCATTAGGCTGGAATATGATATCAGGGTTTGATTAATCAGGGCTTGTTTACATTGTTTTAAAAACCTGTAAATTGAACCTTAATTTCGCTTGTTTCCAGGTTATTTCTATCTAAAAAGAGGAGAAAATTATCATTTATCCCATAGGTTAAAGGTTTATTTTATGAACATATGCTAAGAGCTTTTACTCTTAAAACAGATGTTGCATTAGTGTGAAATGAAATAGATATACACATATAAGGGAATTTTAATAGGCCTTGAAATTACAGAAAGTTTGAGGAAAAAATTTATCTTCATAAATACATTAATATATTAGTAGCTTCTAATTTTTAACTCTGAAGGTGGCCCATTTAAATAACATTGAAAATATGCATGCTTTTGCAATAGTATTTAAAAATAAAAAGTAATAACCTTTCATATAATAGTCATTTATGTTTTTAAATCTATTTGACTCTAAGCCCTTGAGAGTAAATTTGCTTTTTGCTTAGAGCTCATGCTAAAAGAGAGTTGGGTTAGGATTATAGCAGGGCTTTGAATACCGTGCTGAACTTTACAAGAGTGGTTTGCAACATTTTCTCTCTGCATCATTCATACGTTCAACACAGTGTTTAGCATCTCTCCAGGTAGTAATTCAAGGGTCATGGATCTATTGAGAAAGCTGTGGGTGTGCATGTAAGGTTTTTAAATTAGGCGGCAGTTACCAGATAAAGGTTGTGGTTTAGAACAATAAATAAGATAACATAAATAAACTGATATATTGGAGGGGGAGAGACTAGAGTAAGGGAGATCTATTAAGGAAATGAAAGCCTGAACTATCCTAGTGGCAATTGGAACAGAGAGTTTGAAGATAGAGGTTTCTAAGTTAAGGAACTTGGTGATAAGTCACACTAAAAGGAATGGAATGTAAGGGGCCCGATTTTCCTAAGTCATAACTTTATCAGAGTGCAACAATACATACTGTAAAGTTTAGTAAAGGAGCAGATTCTCCTTCCTGTCACACTCGGATATTAGTGCATCAGAGCACTGTGTTGATTAAACATTACTTGTGACATTTAATATTAGAATAACAAAATCCTTTTCTATACAGAGTTCTTTTTGGTTGTTTTAACTAATATATTTATTTATGAAGATAAATATTTTTCTCAAACTTTCTGTAATCTCAAGACTTATTAAATTAACATATATGTGTATATTTATTTTATTTTATACTAAGGCAACATCTCTTTTAAGAGTAAAAGCTCTTAGAGTATGTTCATAAAATAAACCTTTAAACCTATGGAATAAGTGTTAATTTTCTTTTTAAGAAATCTAAAAAACTTTTTTAGTAGGTAGTAAAAGACAGTGTGTTCTTAGGTCTTTATCTTTGACAATATCATTTTATGCTTTTCCTTTTAGATATCTTCTAAGAGTCCTGACATGTCTGTGGGAAATTTGAAATACAGAAATTACTATTCATACATTTTGGTATAATATAACTAACATGCTTATTTCCTTTAAAGTAAAAGGTATAAAAAAAAAATTAGCCTGGCCAGGCGTGGCTCAGCAGTTGAGCATCGACCTGGGATCCAGGCAATCGGGGTTCAATTCCCGGTCAGGGCACATGCCTGGGTTGTGGGTTCCTTCCCCAGTCGGGGACGTGTAGGAGGCAGCCGATCAATGACTCTCACATCATTGATGTTTCTCTCTCTCTCTTCCTCTTCTTTCCTCTCTCTGAAATCAATAAAGATATATTTAAATAAATAAAGTAAAAGGTCGTTTCATAAGTAAAAGTCACACTTTTGATGTACCTAGCTATCTTCCTTACTATGGAAGTTCAAACTACTTTGTTTGTCCCACATCATTGACATTAATTGCCTAACAACACACCAATAAGCCAGAGACATCTGCTAGTTTGTATTATGATACAATATCTTCAGTTACTTCATGTCATAGATACCATGAAATTCTCTAAAACAATATCATGAATTTAAAACAAAAGCCATAGTGGAATGTATTTGTCTGTTGCTGCATAACAAATTACTCCCAAATCTAGCAGCTTAAAGCCACAACCTTTTGTGATCTCAAAATTTCTGAGAATCAGAAATTTGGAAACCGCTTAGCTGGGTGGTTGTGGCTCAGGATCTCTCCAAAGGGCTGAATTAACTAAAGGTGTGACTGAAGCTGGAGGCTCTGACCCCAAGAAGGCTCACATGGCTGTTGTCAGAAGTCCTCAGTTCTTCACTGTCTTTTGGCAGGAAGCCATAGTTCCTTGCCCTGTGCACATCTCCATGGGGTTTCTTGAGTGTGTTAATGATATGGCAGGTGGCTTTCCCCAGTGCAGGTGATCCAAGGAAGATATCACTAAGGAAGCTGAAGTGCTCTATGACCCAATCTGGTAAGTCACACACTGTCACATCTGCCACATTCTGTTGGTTAGGAGCCAATCATAATGATCAGCCCTCACTCAAGGAGAGAATTAAATGCCACTTTTTGATGAAATGAGTTTCTAAGAATTTGTGAACATGTTTTAAAACCACAAGTGATGTATTTGAAAATTAGACAATAAGGTTTGAAAGTAAATGCTGAGTAGTCTGCTTTTAAGTAAAATCTCCAAATCAGTCATTTCTCTAAAATGCAGGCCACATTAAACTTATAGATTATGTTTCAGTGATTTTTTTTTAAATTGGACTATTGATAGATATTTATAATAAAAGAACAAGACTTAAGCCTTTGGAGTTTGCATCTCATTCAACAGAGGAAAACATTATTTACTTCTAAATAACCTAGTTTTTATTTATTTCTGAAATAGTTGAATTCTCTGGTGTAAATGATCCACAGGTAGGAGAAAAGAGAGAGTATGAATTATTTATAGTGGAGAGAGACCTTTCAGTATTTATAAACTGTTAAAGTATTTGACTATTGTTCTGATGTTTCTAAGGTTAGGTACCATATAAACCAGAGCCAGCCATGATGATGATAATGATGATAGTAGCTCCCCTTTGCAGAGCACTTTCTGTGTGCCAGATTTGATCTCAAGTGGGTTATGTAGTTAATTCCAGTAGCTTGTGAGGAAGATACTGTTACAATACTCCATTATGTAGATGTGGATGTGGAGCACCTCGCCTTAAGTCATGCATCTAGTGAAAGGCAGGCCCAGCATTCATGGGTCTCTAACCATGTGCAGCTCTGCTTAGCCTGAGCTAAGCCTTCAGTGACTGTTACAGGAGTGACTCAGCAAATAGAGCAACTGAATGGAGAGAGAACAACAGTCTTTTTCTTACGTGTGTTCAGTGTGGGGCAGTGTTCCTTTGTTCTTTTTTCTACTTGACTAATTCTCTCAAGTTGCCTTTTAGAATAAGGGGAGGCATGCCAGGACAGTGCGATGGTTACAAGTGTAGATTCCAGAATCAGAGGTCCCCTCTTCCAAATCTAGCGCTGTTGCTGACTAGTGTTGTAACCTTGGAAAATTTTCTGACCTTCATTAAAATAAGGTTTTGTTGTTTAAAAGATGGGATAATAAGAATACTTACTTTAAAAGAACAGCTGTAAGTGTTATGGGTGGAAGTGGAGTTCCTGGTGTGCCTTGAGGAAAAGGATTTCCTGAGGTCCCCATGGGAGGGTAGAGTTTTGTGGGAAGCTTTATGGTGANGCCCCCACACTCTGAAGGACCCCATACTTGGTTTAATGCTCTTCTGTCTTTGGTTTGAAAATTTTAAAAATTTTTGAAGAAGGGGCTCCACATTTTCATTTTGCACTGGGCCCCATAAATTATGTAGATGACCCTATCAAGAATTGATAGTTTCTATCTTCTACCCATCCTATACCCTAAACATCCAATTCTAAAGTGCGAATTAAAAAAGATATGTCTGTCACTCAAAATGAAAGCATTCCAAATGTGGGTGGCTGTTAAATAGAATGGTAATAGGAAAACTCAATTGTATTTAAAAACACAGGCTACAGCCCAAAGCCAGACAGAGTTTCCACAAGTGAATTTGCTGTGTCTACTATTGTTGGCCTGAGAAATGAACTCAGAAAAGCCATTGCAGGAAACAGAGCCTAAATAATGACAAATAGCAATCACATTCTGTTATCTGTGGAAGTGGAGTTCTTGGGGTGTCTTGAGGAAAATAATTTCCTTGGGAGGGTAGGATTTCGTAGAAAGCTTTATTAATGGTGTAAAATTAAGGGGGGTCCCCTCCAAGGTCCCATCTCTGTCCGGCTCGCCATGGAAGAAGTCCATCTTGTCTTCACAGGGCCAGAATTAAGGCCACTGCCCAGAATTTCTGCTCCATATCGCAGTGCAGTGCAGTCCGGCATCCGGCTGGCTTAGCTTGCGTTCCCAGCTGCAGTCCATCGCCTGTGGGGTCCGCAGGGCCACCGGCCATGTGGCTGCTTAAGGTCACATGCTATGGAGAGAGAACAGGAGCACGTGGGCGGTGCTGGTCACAGAGCAAGAGAAGAACAAGGCGAGCAAGAGGACGAGAGAAGGAACTCTGGGGATTCGCACCTTCCAGGCTTCTGACGGGTCCACCCTGTAATCAAGCCATTGTTCCCCAGGCTGGACTGACAGGCAGACATCTTTCTTACCTCACCCCAACTTCACTGCGCATGCACCCATCTCCCCCTTGTTCGATCCCTTCCCCCAGTGGTCTGCAGGGAACGGGCCAGTGGTTCCCGGGGGAGTGTGAAGCTGTGGCTTCCTGGTGAAACTGCCCAGATGACCATGCTTATAATGTCTGGCCTCCCCTTTGCTCTCTCCTTTATTAATATTAACTAGCTAATTATGATAACATTAACATTAAATGAAATCATGTTTCTATTATACCTGGCATATAATAAGCATGAATAATTGATAGCTTATTATTTAATTATTGTGTTCATTATAATATTACTAATCCTCTAAGAATAGCGACTTCTGTCTTAAAACTGCATTTTTTTTTTCAAAGTAAGATTTAAGATCTACTACTCCTGTGAAGATTTTTTTTAAAGCCATCTTATACTGTCTCCTGTTTTTCTTTCTGGGCTTTCATAGAGTCTATATGAGCTCCTGTCTCAGAGAAGCAGGGACCCAAGCGCCTGGGCTATGGGAGCAGTCTAATTTGAACAACTGACTGACTGAATTGTCACTGTAAAGGAAATGGGGAAAACCACATTAGGTCAGTAGGTTTGAAAGAGAGACAGAGTAGAACCCTTAAGAAATTCGCTGAGCTAGAAAGAATGTCTGCAGTCACTTTAAAAGAGCCCTACAGCTTTTAATAGTTGCTGTTATCACATTTTGTTATTATTTGTGATATGGTTATTTGCATTCTTTGCAAATGGTGCTTTTTAAGGGCTGTACAAAAATAACACTCGGGATATGTTTTTTGATGTGTGACATTAAGATAACAGAAAAAGCTTTAAAATGTTGACTTCATAAAATTTATAGTTCTTTAACAAAGGTAATAGTTCTCTAACAAAAATGTGTTTTCAAATCTGCTTACTTAATGGCAGTTTTTCTCATTTCATTTTTAGGTTTAAAAACATTGAATGGAATCAATTTGCATTTGAAAATTGGACCGACACAAAGACTCGATACTGTGGAATAAGCAAGCAAGCAGGCAATGACATCTAACAAACCACAAAAGCTCTTGTGTTATAATGGCGAAGTCCTTGCTTTTCAGTTGTCTAAAGGAAACTTTGCAGATAAAGGGCCTGCAGAAATACCCATATTGCATGTCAGAAGAATGGTATTTGACAGAGAAACAAGTGCATTTGTTCAGAAGTCCACCGGATCCTTTAGCATAAAGGAAGAAAACTCTTATTTAAAAATTATATGTTGCAGCTGTGTGTCAGATTTCAGAACTGGAATAAACCTCCCTTATATTATGATACAAAGCAACGAAAAGAAGAATGTTTTCAAATATTTTCTACTATTGCTTCACAATACCAATAAATTTGAAAAGCGTTTGAGTTTTAGACTTGGCCATGAGTTGAAGGATGGCCTAAGGGTCTTTAATGGCCCTTTAATTATATGGAAACATGTTAAGTCATTCTTCTATATTTCTCCCCAAACTGGCAAAGTTATTACTGTGTCTGTTAACTTTTCCTCTATTGAGTGGGCAGGGGAGATTGAAAATCTAGGTATGGTTTTATTAGGACAAAAGAAATATTATTTATCTGAGGAAGAAGGTGCCCCAAAGCCTTCAAAATCAGATTATGCAGTTTGGAACAGCAGATTTTGTGTGTACTTCCTTGAAAGGGAAGAAGTCGTAAGTGATACATACATTATCCCTCCCGCTTATAGCAGTGTGATAACTTGTGTGCATGTCTGTGCAACTGAGTTTGTCAATAACGAGCTAAGAATGTCCCTGATTGCCCTTACTCGAAAGAATCAGCTGATTTCATTCCAAAATGGGACTCCTAAAAGCGTGTGCCAGCTTCCCTTCGAAGATCCTTGTGCAGTTCAAGTTATGGATTCAGGAGGAGACCGCCTTTTCATTGTGTCGTTTAGGTCCAGCGCTTGTGCCGTTTGGGAAAAGAACTTTCAGGTACAGTAGTTATTCTCATAACTATTCAATCAGTGTAGTCTTAGACCTAGTGAGCATCCTACACTTAATAGAGTTTATCCTGGAGTCTTATTATCCAAATCAATTTTCAGTGCTGCACTTAAAAGAAAATTATATATGGTACATTACTCTTTTTTCTTAGAGTTATCGGAATACTACCTGATAAAGGTTTTGCCTTGCCATTTTGAGTCATAAAACCTTTGAGTTGCTTGGAAATATATAAATCTATAACTATAATTATTACATATTTATTTGTCTTTTACTGTGACTCTAATTTTTATTAATGTGATAATAATTGGAAGTATATTTTTACTTCGAATAAGATTAGAGGTTATTCGACTTCATAATCCTTCTTAGAAAATTCAAATAAGTTCAACTTTTGAAAAGCTGGTAATTATCTGTTTAAACTTAAATTGAAATCTAGAGGAATTTCTGGAAATGTGTCATTGTCCCTTAAGAGACAAATATTTGTTCTCCAGAGAGGAGTGATAAGTGTTAATTTTTTAAAAAGACTTGCTTGGTGAATTTTATGATCTTATATTTTGTCCTTAGCAAGCATTCATATTTTATTCACATTTACAGTAGTTGTGTCTTTTAACGTAAGATTTGGAAATCTTTTTAAAATACCCTCTGGTATTGAGTGTTCAATAACAGGTATAAAGGTGCAGAAATTGAAAAGGAAATTGGAGGTTTGTAACTGGGCATCTGAACAAATAATATTTCTCTGACCCTGATTTTTTTTGGGGGGTAACACTGCGTCCTCCTGGCTTTAGATACATATCATCTTCAGTTATGTGATGTGAGTGTTTATAGTTCAAGATAAGTAATCATTACTTGTCAGAAATGTCTCTTCCAAAAGTGAGTTTTAGTACATTATACAACTTCTTAAGTTGGAGATAATGCCTTACTTTGTGTGCACTAGCCATTCAATTAGAAGCTCAATTACAATTTCTATCACTATATTATCATGTTGATGACGAATATTGATAAATATTTTAGAAAGTTTGAGAGACATATTTTATTTTGTGTATGTGGAAATGTCAGGTTGAAATTGTGTTTCATCAGGCTTTGCCTTGTAAATTACCTTTATGGTAATAGGGATTATTATAACTATATTCAATCCCTGTCATACATAGAGGACTTAAATCCTCAAAAGGAAAATAATTTGAAAGCTACCCTGTTTTATTTGGAAAGCAGTCTTTTAAAAGCACATTGTACTTTTATTTGAAGGTTATTTGGAAGGTAGCGTTTTCTGTCTTTTCCTTTTCCTTTCATGAAATGGTGGGGGGAAAACATCTGGTATAGCCCATAATCCTTATTGGGGTCAGGGTAATGGAAAGAACACACTTAACCTGGGTTTGAACTCTAACTGAGCCACTTACTAGTCTTACCTTAGGGAGAGTATTTCATTTCTGTGAACCCGTTTTCTGACTGTATGAAATTGAAATCATTCTGCCTCTGAGAGGGGAGAATTACATTAAATGACATTGTAAAGTGTCTAGCATGATGCGTGACACATAGGAGAAGCTCAGTAAGTGGTAGCTGTTATTGTTAGGCAAGGGCCAGGGCTGTCCTCAATGACTTGGACCTACCTAAGGTCCCTTATTCACCTAGATAAGAAAAAACAATTACCTCATGCCTCATAAATTCAGTGGAATATAGTCCTAACTCCCTTGAAGTGGGCCCCCTGCTGGGACACTGTAGACCTCTGCACTAACACGTTACCCAAAGCAGGAGATTGCCACTCCCTGTAACTGCTGGCCTCCTTGCCTTCAAATTGTGTTCTAGAATTCTTTTTCTACAGTGGACCACCATCCTTTCCACAAGTTACTTACCTGAGCCCCTACTGCCATATTCCTTAGGCTATGTCCCCAGGGAGTCTGGACTCTGAAACTGTTTGCAAATACCGTGTATTGAAAGCTCTAGGGTTTACTCCCTGATATCTGCCAAGTTAAGTGCTTTTAAATTGCCTCTGTAACTTGGGAGTTTTGGAGATAGCATGCTAAGACTCTACAACTAAAGGGAGAGGACAGTTAAGGGAAGTAATTGCATGGGAGCAATTACACTTAGTTTAGCAGTTAAGACAAAAAAAGTAAATACAGCAGGTTTTACCTTCGAATGGAGCATATACTCTCAAGGGAAAAATATTTTCTAATTGAGTTCTGAGAAGAATTTACTGTTTGTGGTACTCTGTAAGAGGTTTCGAATAATAAAATAAATCCAGCCTGGCCAAGCGTGGCTCAGCGGTTGAGTGTCGGACCTAGGATCCAGGCGATCGGGATTAGATTCCCGGTCAGGGCACAGGCCCGGGTTGCGGGCTCAATTGACTCTCTCATCACTGATGTTTCTATCTCTCTCTCTCTCCCTCTCCTTTCCTCTCTCTGAAATCAATAAAGATATATTTAAAAGAACAAAATAAAATAAAATAAAATAAAATAAAATAAAATAAAATAAAATAAAATAAAATAAATCCATTATTGAAAAACTAAAATGGTGTCTGTGATAGCAGTTTTTTCCCCAAATGGGAGAAAACAACAGAACAGTCTTCCTTTGGGTTGGCTATGGACTTACCTTATCCATTCATCCGTCTGGTACGTCATTCCATAAAGGAATTAAGGCAGCTAACAAAGATAGGTTAAATACACACAAGCATAAAGTAGAATAAGTAATGAAAGTCAAGGTTAGTGTGTTCTCAGATCAGCTCTCCCAGGTATAAATTTTTATCCAGTGACAGGACTTGAAACTGAGAGCTGAGCCTAGAGAAGTATATGAGTAGCCTTTCTCTTCCTAGGCTTTCTCCTTGAGTAGAAATTGTCTCTGCAAGTTTTGGCAATTATCTATGCAGTAGGCTTTTCAAAATTGAGATCGTTGTCAAGTATACCTGGTTCTAGAAGTGTTCTGTCGGATGCTACAGCCACTAGCCATATGTGGTTATTCAACATTTCAAATGTGGCTAGTCTGAATTAGAATATGCTGGAAATGTCAAATATACACCAGCTGTCAGAGACTTAGTAAAAAATGAAAGTCAAATATCTCAATTTTTATTGATTAGATTGAATTGAGATGATAGTATTTTGGATATTTTGGGTTAAATTAAATATAATAGTTATTTCTACTTTTTTCTTTTCACTGCTACTGGAGAATTTTATTGGATCTTGGAACATTTTAAATTATATATGTGCCTTGCATTTGTGGCTTGCCTGTATTTCTTTTGGATGACTGTTCTAGGCCTGTGGATTGCAGATGTGTGAGTGCATGTATAAGGGCACAGCTCTATGATGTTTGCATGCTGAGCACATTCTTATTACTAATATATATATATATATATAGTCTTTTATATAGTTATTGTACTCCATTATACTCATGGGGAGGTGGGAGGATGAGAGGACATGGGTTTACAAATAAGCTCCTTCCTGCATAGTGAAAAATCATTGCGTTAGAAATTAGTCTTATAGGGGAAAAGCTGATATTTGGTAATATAGATCGAAGACTCTTATTTATCTTGCTCTAATGCAAGCCGCCCTCATGTGTCACCTAGATGATGTGACTGCTCCTGGGATTCTGAGTGGGAGTTTTAGCTTTTCTGCCTGAGGGAGAAAGGGTACCTGATCCCCATGGTGTTAGTTTTCCAGGGGACTAATCTGGAGGCTTTTAGCTTTATGGACCTTTAAGAAGTTGTATTCTATTTTAAACTTGTGGTCTCATGTTCTGGTATAAACTGGTCAAATCATTCCACTAGGCTAGGATGGTTCTAGGTGCCCCACTATTGGAATCCCTCCCCTTTTGTGGCTCTGATAATGGCTGTGTTCTCCCCAAGCAGAGTTTAGAGTATTAAGTTCATCTGACTCTTTTAAATTTTTTTAAAATTAAATTTATTGGGGTAACTTTGCTTAATAAAATTATATAAGTTTCAAGTGTACAGTTCTATAATACATCAGCTGTATATTGCTTTGTTTGTTTACCACCCAAAGTCAAATCTTCTTTTGTCATCCTGACTCCTAAAGGTTATTTTGATTCCAGCGCTTTTAAAGCGCTCAAATGGTACCTTCTAGTTACCTACTGCAACTGACTTCTTTGTCTGATCATAAGTACAGGGTGGGGCAATAGTAGGTTTATAATTGTGAGGACCGAAACACAGAATTTATTCTGTAAACCTGCTTTCACTCCACCCTGTATATATCCACCAAGGCTATGGGAGTGAGGGTCATCCTTAAATTAACCATGTTAGACAAAGAACCTTCACTAGAATTACTCATGAGAAATGTTAGAATTTCCAAAATAGTCTTGAGAAGTATTAGAATTTATAAATTATAACAAAATTTTAATATAGAAATTAGCAACGTTATAGTCCTTGGACAAACGATAAAATATTAAATTTAAGTACCTTGATATTTATAAAGTTATAGCTCCTTATGTTTTCTGATCCCTTAATATATTTATTTTAGTTTTTAGTGTTTATACTCCCATTTTCATTACTTATTTATAAGATGGAAGATAAATTACAACTACATGTGACAAAAAGATTTAGGACATTTCACACTTGATTTTTCCCCTCTCTGTTCTTTCCCACTCTTTCAGGTTGCTGCTAAGTGGGAAGAAATTAGCTCGGTGCTCATAGATGACTTTATTGGAACTGGAACAGAGCAAGTACTACTGCTTTTAAAGGACTCTTTAACTTCAGATTGCTTGAGTTCATTTCAAATAACGGATCTTGACAGCATAAACTATTCAGTGAGTTATGTTTACTTTTTATACATTAAGTACCATTTTAGGAAATTTGAGTGCTTTAAAGCTTTTGACCAGCTATATAAGTATTTGTGATTTCATACTTAAAGTAAACTTTTTGAACTTTATATGGCTTAACCAGAGACATAGAAGCATGGAACAGACTAACAAATCTCAGAGGGAAGGTGGAGGTGGGTGGGTGGGAAGAGATTAACCAAAGAATTTATATGCATATATGTATAACCCATGGACACAGACAATAGTGTGGTGGAGGCCTGGAGGGGCGGCAGGTGCAGGCTGGAAAGGGTCAATGAGGAGAAAAAGGGGACATCTGTAATACTTCAATGATAAAGATAAGTTTAAAAAAATATATATATATATATGGACATCTGTAATATTTTAAACAAAAAAAATTTAAAAATTAAAAAAATAATAATAATAAAATTAAATTAAATAGGAAAAAAAGATATATATGTATTGAATCTTTTAAAAACACAGTCGGGCGCCACTTAACGATGGGGATAGGTTCTGAGGAATGTGTCGTTAGGCAATTTGTTGTACAAACACCATAGGTGCAGTTACACCGACCTAGATGGGCTAGCCTGCTACACACCTAGGCTATGTGGTACAGCCTGTTGCTCCTAGGCTACAAATCTGTATAGCATGTTACTGTACTGAATACTACAGGCAGTTGTAACACAATGGTAAATATTTGCATATCTAAAAATATCAAAACATAGAAAAGGTACAGTAAAAAGTACAATGTAAAAGATAAAAAAAGGATACACCTGTACAGGGCACCTACCGTGAGTGGAGCCTGCAGGACTGGCAGTTGCCCGGGGAGAATGGGTGAGTGAATGTGAAGGCCCGGGACACCGCTGTAGACTTTAGAACACCACACACTGAGGCGACACCACATTTATGGAACAGCACGCGGTGAAGGGACGCCGTGGGAGGAAGGCGCACTGTGCTGCCTCGCGGCCCACCTTGTCCCGGTGGGACGGGCGCGATGCAGAGCCCAGGGCAGGAAACGCCTCCGCCAGTGGGGCTGCGTTTATCGTTATCAGGCATCATGTGCTGCATGTAATGGTATGTCTATTGCATGTGCCTAGACTTTTATGTGACTGGCGGCACAGGTTTGTCACCACCAGCATCACCACAGACACGTGAGTACTGCGGTGCCCTCCAGTGTTGTGATGGGGCCAGGGTCACTAGGGAATTGCAGACCTTGAATGTCCTTTCAACAGATGCCATACAAGTCGACTATGCTTTTGAATATAGTATATCTAGTGGTCAATCAAGTGACAAAAATACTGTAAATTAACTTACCATTGCTTCTGAAAGTCTTTTTATATCAATAAACATAATAATATTGGATTAATTAAAGAATAAAGTGAAGTGAAACTGCTTTATTAAAACAAGGAACAGTTCATTAAGATTTTGGGCATAAGGGAAATAATACTCCTGAAGTTTCAGATTTATATAAATGCTTCTGAGCTTCAATCTTTTTATTAGTGAAATGAGGGTAATTCTTATTTTCTCTAGTTATGGGATTTTAGGGTTTTATAAAAATCTAGTAAGCTGATACTTTTTGAAGCAGTATACAACTGTTACATGAGTGGTAATGGTAATAGTGATTTTTTCTAGTTATAAGAAGATTGGGGGAATATATATTTTGTCTTTTATATAATAGTGTCTAACATAGAAAACTGCCCTTTGACTGGATAAACTTTAATTGTATATTGTTAATATTATGTTTTTTTAGTTTATTTCAAAATTTCAGTTTCGGTGTATTTTTTTATTTATTAGAGTCGAACATTGGATTGCAATGAAGATGACTTATTTGAAGGCGAACAAGATAATCGTTATTTGGTGATTCCAGCTCTAGAAAGAAGAGTGAAAGTTAGTGTCTGTTTGCTTTTTTGCTTTTGCTCTTTTGGATTAGTGCTATTTTATTTTATTTTTAAAGAATGCTTTTTATTATTTTTATTTGCTTTTTAAATCTTCACTGAGGACGTGCTTGGGGGGTGGAGGGAGAGGAAGAGAGAGGGAGAGAGAGAGAGAGAGAGAGAACACTGATCCTACTTTTGCACCAGGGACATATGTATTTAGCCTAAAGCAGCAGTGCCCTTGGCACCTGGCAGAGACAAACATAAAATCCTGTCCCCAGCCCTGGCCGGGTGGCTCAGTTGGTTTGAGCGTCGTCCTGTACCCAAAGGTTGCAGGTTCAGTTCCCTGTCAGGGCACATATCTAGGTTATGGGCTTGATCCCTGGTAGGGGCATGTATGGGAGGCAACTGATCAGTATTTGTCTCTCACATTGATGTTTCTCTCTCTCTTTCCCTCTCTCCCTTCCTCTCTCTAAACATATAAGGTGAGGATTAAAAAAAAATCCTCTCTCCAAGCACAAATTTATTCTAGTCCTCATATTAATCTCAGTGTCACAAGTAATTTTTCAAAGAAAGTGAGCCACCCACAAAATAACTAAGCCCGTAAAGAAACAAGCCAGCATTTATTCACATAAAAGAACCAAAAGCATTTCTATAAACTAAAAATACACTGAAATACAAAAAACTTAACAGATGAGTTTACAGTTGACTCAAAGACATTCAGAGGAAATTAGCAAATCAGACTATGTTAGAAAAGTTATTTAGAAGATAGCACAAAGGAAAAGAAGGAAAATATGAAAGAAACATAAAGGGAAGCCAGGGACATATGGAGATGGGGAATATGAGATAGTTGGGCTCCATTTTGCCTCAGGAGTCTACATGTTGTCACTAGTTCTAAGTGTGGTTATAAACATTTCCAAGTGTTATAGAGATTAACAAGTCTACCCTGTCCCCCATTTTCCATCTGAGGTGACAAATGGAGAGGCAGAAAGATTAAGTAATTTACAGAGTATGAACTAGAGTCTAGAGTCCATTTCACTGTTCTTTCCTCTGTGAAATTTGTTTTCCAACCAGTTGTTGGAGGGGAATTGGGGAGAGCAGGACCTTGGAGAAACTCGTGCACATGTGCAGGAATGTTCACAGCAACACGTAATACTCCACAGCTGGATGAAACGCAGATGTCCATCAACAGCAGACTAGAGAAGTAAACTGGTGTAGTCACATGATGGGATATTGGAGAGCAATGAAAGGCATGAACTGCAGCCACCAGAGACAAGTGGATGACTCTAAAACCTAATACTCAAAAAGTTCAGAAGCAAAACACACAAAAGCTACATGTTCTTTAGAAATTCATACAATGATGGTAAAAGTATGAAGACAAGAGAGTTATTAAAGATCAGGGTAATGCTGCCTCCAGTGGAGAAAGCGAGGTTTGTGGCTGGGAGGGCCCATGGGTGGCTCCTGGAGTGCTGCTTCTTGGCTTGGGTGTAGTTACATGGGTGTTGACTTCACGATTAGTCTGTAAACTGTTCTTCGTATTCTGCAGTCTTCTCCATGCGTGAGAGAGATCACAGTGCAAAGAACAAAAAGCAAGCTTCGCTCTCATGCAGTACAGCGTGCTCCTATATTAGGTTCTGTGTGGGTTTCGTTTGTTTGTTGGGGGGGCAAAGAAACTATTCCTTAGCATATACTACTTGGAAAAACTCTGGAAAAGTAAGCAATCTGTTGGTTGCACAGATGGGATTAAGGGTGTAGGAAGGGAAGGTGAGATGTACTTTTATGTTGTTTAAATTTATTACCATATGCTTGTTTTCATAGTTTTATAACAAAACATCATAACAGAATATTTGAGCGGCCTAGTGATTTACCATTTATTCCTGGAGCAGGGGGCATGTGGATGGGAGTCGGGAAGAGAGAACAGGATCATTTCTGAAGGGGGCCTTATTTTCAGTCTGCCTACATAGTCCTTTCTTCACTCCCTCCCCTCCAGCAGTCTCAGATTTGTTCCACCTCTGCTGAGCACATCTTTCTTCCCCTAAATTACAAATTGCTCAGAAAATGAGTGATGGAGTGTGAATGATGTGGAGCCCACAGAACTAGGTCAACAGATGAAGTTTTAAAATATTTGCGAGACACTTTACATACTTTGTGCAATGAGGTAAAATGTGATTCAGTCTTCACTCTCCAACTTCTATTCATTGATACCAAGAAAAAGAATGTACCTGTCTTAAAATGTAATTTAAAAGAAAGGAATTCAAAAGCAGGGTGCATTGTGTTTTTTCAATCTAGAAAAACATTTTTATTAAAAACTACATTAATACTGAAACAGTCTCAGATATCCATCTGAAATGAAACAGCTTCTGTCAGTTCAATGATGTGACTAAATTTTCAGTAACAAAATGTATTTCATGCATATTTTATGCTTTTTGCTGAAATCTGTTTATCTAGGACAATACAAGGAATGGATTGCTCTATGCCCAGGTCAGAGCCAGTCCCCCCCCCAGTAGTTAACAGTCAATCTTAGTACTGAGTTTATTGGCACAAAAATAAACGCATGACAGTTTGGAAGCTGCTAATGTGTTATCTTTAAATTTTTTATAAAGGTTGTATGAACAGAATTTCAAATAATATCAAATTAAAAGTAACTATTTCAATTTATAATTATGTCTTTTGCTTTTTGAAACAGACATAATTTCAACAAGAAAAACAGTTTCACTGTGGAGGTAGGAGTGTTGGTAGACTGGTTTTTATTCATATCAATTGGACTTAGTCATATTCATATTGATGGGCTACTAAACTCAGTAGTGAAACGAATGCTAATACATTGGCATTCTCTCAATTTTTAGACATAAAGTCTATTGCAGTTACTTGCTGTTTTCTTTTGTAATTAGAGACTTAAAATGTACAAGTAAAATAGTTTTGCTCTGAGAAATATTCTCTGCTTTTCTATAGAAAAATGAATTAATAAGCAGATTTGGAGAGAGCACTTCCTGAATTAATTGTATGTCAGTTTTCATTTGAAACTATGTCTCTGGCAAGGATTTTTCTTTCCACTTTACAGGTTGGTTTGGCTTCTATTCAGGAAGTACAGCAGCATCTTTTGCTTAAGGAAAAAGTTATTTTAAAATCTTACAAAGCTTTAATGAACCTGCTTCAAGGAAAAGAAGATACTACATCAATTGCAGAGGAGGTACAATTCATCATGTGACATTTTATCATTTTATGAATTAAAACCTATTGAAGAGTTATTTATTTTTTAACTTTATTTTTATTGTTGACACTATTACAGAAGAAAAGTTATTTAAATAGGAAATTGGAATATATTAGAAATGCTCAATGGATCAAGAAGCAAAGTGGCAGGGATTATTAATGGTGGGCTTTTATGACGTTGAAAAATATGTGATTAAGAAGCCAATATTTTACCAATTTGCAAATTATTCTTGGTAGGATATTAAAATCTCAGTTATCAGGAACCTTGGGGCATTAAGTCCTTTTGTTTAAAAAATATTTAAACTTTTTAATTTGTATAATTTGAATAGAAATTACTCCGAAGTGAATTTTATATTTTCTGACTTCTTAAACAGAATTCCTGAACATTATTTAATCTTGCATTAGTGACACGGTTTCATCATTAGTATAATAGTTGTTCTTTTACTCTCTTGCATGGTTCATTTTTAAGGATATTTCTCTAGGTAATGTCCCTAAATTGCTCTGATTTTTTTAGCCCTTATGTCTGCTTTTTATAATTTTACTGTCTCTTTCTTTGTGGTTGACCATCATGAGAACCTCTTTTATGCCCGTACAGCAAGTAATGTAGAAAGTTAGCAAAAACTGCTTTGACTTCATGAAAATAGTATTTATGCACATTAGTTCCAGGCAGAGAAGGGCAGAACAGCAAAGTTACAAATAAATCAAGAAAAGCTGAGCAGAGAGGAACTTTAGTGCTTTGCTCTGACCCTTCTCAAGGTTGACCATTCTTACAGTGGTCAGTGCCTTGTGTCTGTATTTCAGTCCTAGCAATATGAGGATTTGGGTCCAAAATAGGATTTTGTGAGTATAGGAAACATAACAAAAACCCATCATATTACATTTCTGTATTACTCTTGTAAGTTCCTGAGAAATCTCATGAAAGTCATTGTTAAAAGTCTCCCCATGTCCCTTCCTTACCTCACCCCAACAACTTTGCCAGTATTAGAAAAGGGGAGTCAGTGTTTAAAAATTAATGCATTGAAAGCTCTGTGTGCGAGACACCGTTTTGGCCCTTTACATGGTTCATTTGAACAGCAATCCTGGCAGGTAGTAATCATTTCTGCAGGTTTGGGATGACTAGTCTGTCTCACATCTCACCGCTACTGGCAGAATTGTCAGATTCCTAGGACCGTGTGTCGTCCACTCTAGTGTAAGTGCCCATATTGTGTTTCAGTTATTACCACATAGAGGGGTAATAGAGATTAATGGTTGAGATAGAGCATGGTCTCTGGAACCACTGTGCTTTGGTTCAAATCCCAGCTGTGCCCCTTGCTAGCTGTCTGACCCGGGACAAGGTACTTAACTCTCTGAACCTCATTTTTTAAAAAATCTGGAAAACGTAGATAATAATACTATGGACCTAGGGTATTAGGGTTATTGTGAAGGTTAAACAAATTAATACAGAAATGGCATTAGAACAGTGCCTGACCTATAGTAAGCACTGAGTAAGTGCTGTATATTATTATCATTACTACTACTACTCTTCCTCCTCCTGCTACTGTTTCTCTTGTTACTAAAATCCATGTGTGTGGAAATGAGTGAGTACAGCTTGGGCTTTAAGAATAAAATTTTAGCAATAATCAATCAGCAGTTCAAAGATAGTTTAATCATTTTTATTCATACAAAGTTTACAGTTATGGGTTTAGTGTAAGTTACTGATAAGATAAAGATTGGATTGTTTTCAGCATGCCTGGGGTACATATTGTCACATTATTTTCAAAATGGACTCCAGGTTTACATCCTGTTGTGTTGGATACCCTGTCTTGTTTCCAGTCACGCCCTGCTTCTTGATCTGAGTAGTTAATTATATATGTTTTATAAGTTTTATTTCAGTGAATTATGTATAATCTATAATATAAGTAATTTATTTTAAAATATGTAAGCTTTAAGGCTGACCAAAAGCTGATTTACATAATTTCTTTTAGTTTTGCTACATTTGATAGTTTTTTTTGTAATTAGTTACTTAAACATGTTTTTCTTTTAAGAAATGTCTTGTTACTCTTTGTGGTGGAGAAGAAAATCCTGTTCATACTTGTGATGAAAGCTTATCAGGCAGTTCTGAAGATTCAGAACAGCTAGTAGAGAAGATATGGTATCGTGTAATAGACGACAACTTGGTTGTTGGAGTGAAAACCACATCTCTGAACCTGTAAGTAAATTCTAACATGATACCATTGTCTTGATGCTCTAGAATAGCACTTGCCCAACAGAAATACAGTGTAAGCCACACATGTAATTTTCAACGTTGTAGTAGCTATATTAAAAATGAAAATAGAAATAGGTGAAATTAAGTTTAATAATATTATATTCCCAAAATTATCATTGTTGAGGGATAAACAATATTCTGTATTAAAAAGCTGATTTTATTTAAGTTATTTAGGGGAGTATAAAATGCAATTTTTACTTTAGAAGTATTTGCATTCTAAATTATTGCCAAAACAGTCTTTTTAAAAATGAGTAGTTTTTTTCTTGTTTAAAGAAAAATGGGGGGACCTACTTCAGAAATAAAATCCAGTCATTAATTTACCATTTCTTTCCATTAAAAAACTTACTTTCCTGAAGTCCAGCATATTTGCAATGTTTTTGCTTTCTTATTTTAAGAGAAGTGTTATTATAGGATTTTTAAAAATGTGTTTGGCTTTTACACTTAATTTTCTGATACATTTTACATTTGAAATGATGTTCCCTAGTAAAGGAGAGAATACATTTTGTTGTTGTTCTTTGTATGACATTTAATCATCTATTTGATTTTAAAGAATGAACTTTTAGACTAAAGCAAACTCTGGATGTTTTACAGGTCTCCGAAGCAGGTGACTCTATCGTTGTTAATGGATGAACCCCGCAGCTGTAGCTTTCGGCCTATTAAGTGTCAAAATAGGGTGATCCGGTTGAGTAGGGGCTCTTTTCCCGCACCCTGCTCAGTGCCCTGTGCAGTGGGATCAGAGGCAAAAAGGATCAAGTTGGCTGGTGGTGAGGAAGAAGAGGAAGAGGAGAGCTTTGTTTGTGGACAGCCGCCTGAGGAAGAGCGCGTCCAGGTGATCGCTGCTGTGACATCTCTTTCGCCGCTTTTAGCATTCAGTCAGTTTTGCTGCATTGTGCTGCTACAGATTACACAGAGAGAAAATGGTAACTGTTCTCAACATCGTTTTGTTCCGTGTGGCAGACTTTTCTTAAGTCTAGAAGATTTTTCAAATGGGAAATATCTAGTGACATTTCCAAAGAAACCTATAGGTAATTTTTGTTGGTACTTTTTAATCATATACCTAGTTGAATCAGAAAATTTTAAGAACTCTCTTTATTTGATAATAGAGTTTAGTGACAGAGCTTGTGGCATATTTTTCTTGCAGAGCACATGGAAGATCTCTTTGCACTTCTTGCAGCATTGCACAAAACTTGCTTCCAAATCACATCACCCAGATACGCCCTGACTTCAATGAAGGCATGGCTCTTAGAACACATGAAATGTGAAGTAATCAAAGAATTTCCAGAAATCTGCTTTTGTAAAGGGTTAGAAAGTTTGTATGGGACACTCTTCCACTGGAAGCAAAGGACATCATTTGAAGGGATCTTAATAGTCTATTCCAGGTAAAGCACATCAAATTGGCATTGCTCCATCAGAGTTAATGTGTGCTGAATGTGTGGCCCAACAGTAATCCCCACGGTACAGTGCTGTGCCATTGTGGGACATGTCCCAGCCATTGCCTGGTGTAGCATGAATGGACAGGTGGCCTCATTTAAAAACTGACGCTGTTTTTCTTTTAATAAACTTAAAAAAATTTTTTTTTAATGCTCACCCGAGGATATTTTTTTCCCATTGCTTTTCAAAGATAGTGGAAAGGAGAAAGAGAAAGAGAAACGTCGATGTGAGAGAGACATCAATTGGTTGCCTCTGCACAGGCCCTGACTGGGACCAGGGATGGAGCCTGCAACCTGGGTACATGCCGCTGACCAGGAATCGAACCCAAGAGTCTTCAGTCTATGGGTCAACGCTTCAACCACTGAGCCAAACCTGCTAGGGCAAAAACAGAAGCTGTTTTTAATTTTATGTTTTTCGCTTTTTAAATTTTTGGTTGGATAGGACCTAATAATTAAGATTTTCTCTTACCTCTTCCTCACAATAAAATTTTAAAAATACAATATTGATCTTATTGCTCAGAGAAAAAAATTGGGAAGCAACCTCATGAGTATTAATTGACTTGGGGTAGGATACGTATTTTTGATTGCTACAGTCTAAATAGTGTCAATGATCATGTACATGCATCATTGGTTCTATTCATTGTAGAGTATTTGTACATGAATATTAATTGATTAATATGTTGTGCACAACTGCTTTGTGCTGTCCCAAGTTTTATAATATTGTGTTTGTCTTTTTTATTCCAGGAACCAAACAGTTTTATTCCAGTGCCTTCATAATCTCACCAGAGTTCTCCCTGTAACCTGTTTCTTCAAAAATCTAAAATCAGGAAGTGAGGATTTCCTAAGTGATTGTTTGGCATTAACTTTGGAGAAGGAATTGGTTATCCTTGGTTCTCTTTCTTCTGCCTTAGCTAAGATTGAAAACAACGTGGAGCAGAGATGTGAAGCAAGCAAAGAAAAGAGTGGTGGTGGTCTGGCTGCTTTATCAGACAGACAAGAAAACATCCATCCCTACAGAGAAGAACTTCAGAGAGAAAAGCAAACATTGGGGACGGACCTAAAAGTGAGTGGTGCTCTTTATAGAGAAATGACCTTGAAGTTAGCTGAGGTCCAGCTGAAATCAGACCTTGCTGCACAGAAACTGAGTGGCCAATAATTATAATCTCAATTTGATTATATTTTAAAATATTTTTCCCTGCTAGAACATTTTGGTTCCACTGGTTTTTATTTTACATTACATAACTCCTTTGTAAAAATAAAAAATGAGGCTTTTTGTAGGATATTAGGTTTTGATGAGGCACAAGATAGCATGGCTTCGAGCAGCAGTTCTCAACTCGTGCCGTTTTGCCTCCCTCCAACCTTTCCACCACCCTCCCCAGACCAGGGGCATTTGGCTTGTTTGGAGACATATTTTTGATTGTCAGAAGGAGTGGGAAGTGGGGAGGGTGAGGCAGGGGTGCTATTCACATCTGGTGGGTAGACGCCAGGGATGCTGTTAAATATCCTACTCTGTAAGATGAGCCACCTAGAATGATCCAGCCCAAAAGGCTGAGGTTGAGAAATCCTGCCTTAGAGTTACCACTTGAGTGAAGGCAGAAGTGATCTATCAGTATTTGGGTCTAAATCTTTTTTTTTTTTTTTTTTTTATGTTTTTACTGATTTTAGAGAGAGGAAGGAATAGGGATAGAGAGATAGGAACATCAATGATAGAGAAACATCATGGACCGGCTGCCTCCTGCACGCCTCCTACTGGGGATCGAGCCCAAATCCTGGCATGTACCCTGACCTCTAGGTTCATGGGTGGATGCTCAGCCGCTGAGCCACGTTGGCCAGGCTGGTCTAAATCTTAAAAAACCAAAAACTTAAATAGACTTTTTATTGTATTCTGCTTATTTAAAATCTAGCTTATAAAAATTAACTTCAAACAGATAAACAAGATTGTCAGGAGTCACAAGTTTATGTAAAGACCAACCTCCTGTGGAAATTTAAACGGCAGACTGTCTGGGTGAGACTGTTAAAATGAAAGTGTTTGGAACCCTTGTTAATTTAAATTTTATTAGAAAGTTTCTCTGAAATTGTTTGTCTATAGGAATGTGAAAATTTTAGGCCATTTCTCTGAAAAGCATCTCTCTTTCAAAAGGCTAAGCATACCTCACAGGTCAATATTTTTTAAAAAATTAAAAATGCCTTTAAGCCATCTGAAACTCTTAACTCTAGGCAAAGCTAAAATATAATATTCTAACTAAAATAATTTAATGTTCCTCATGGATGGAAAAATTTAAAAATAAGTAAAAATTCACTTCAGTCAGGAAGTGATTTTTAAGGAGTTCAGTGAGACATTTCAAAGGGGTAAAAATTCAACCTATTCCCTTTTTTTTTGAAAAAAAAAAAAAAAAGAATTCTGGAGTAATAAGAGAATGTCAGGAGAGGAAAAAAAGACTCAAAAGGATATGGGCCAAAAGGAATGTTTCTGATCCTTTTTGCTCTAATATCCTTAAGTGAGATGGAAGAAATAAAGATGATTGTAGAAAGTGCCATTTCGTGCTTGCAGCTATGAAGTGCTAATTCCCACCCTGCCTTAGAAGTGCTTGTACCTAATGATCTGATGATGTAAATGGGTTTTAGAGAATATAGGTTCTTATCTTGTCTCTGCCTTTATGATTGTCCGTATAATGTGCTAGCTCTTTTTTAGTAATCCATTGCAAATTGAGACAGCTCTCTTTCTATGAAATGTCAATGGAAACTATTTCAGACCTTCTGAAAGTGGAAATGGAATAGTTTCAGGATGAATTGTGGAAATCAGGGAGCAGGATGTGTCAATAGATATATTAAAACTGCCCATGGCATGTTCTGAAAGAACAATGAAGTATAAAGTATAGAAACTAAATTGGAAGGTGGAGGCTGTCAAAAAACTAAGTAGAATTTAATTGTAGTAGTTTATCCATAGGGAACTTAGGATAATAAAAGTAGCATTTGCTTATTTTTTATTTATGAAAGCAACCTAAAGTTATTAATGTAGATATACCAAATAACTTCTTTACAAGTGAGTTTGGTACTTAAATATATTTTTCTACTTACAAAAAACTAGAAAAGCCAAAGTTTGAGGAAATGATGGCCTACTGCTCTCTCATGACTGTTGTCTGTTTGCCTCTGTAAGCGTTTTCCTCTGGCCACTGCCCTCATCGTGAACTGGAAGCTTCACTCAAAAACAGTCTTCCCTCCTTTCCCT